ATAGATATAGATATAGATATATATATAGATAGTTGAGTTTTGGAATGAGCTTATTTATTGTTGAACATTTCCTCCTTACTCATTTTTTTGACCATCCTTAAATAAAACCAAACTTGACAGTGAAATAAATAAATGTGTTGACACCCCCCACCCATCTCCTCATACTAGTACCTGATGTGTTTCTTTCATCTCAAACAGAAATAATTGTGGTAATAATCTACCTGGTATAATAGACATATTAATTATTGGTATTGTAGGTGCCTGAGATACACAGCTTCTTGTTATAACGTAGTTCTGTATTTCCTGCTACTCCCAGCCTTCCCCACCTGGTACAGCCATGTTCCAACCTTATGATCAATATAATGAAATAAGTACAATACTATTGACTTGGTCAGTGTTAGGTGGACAGGTCCTGGGTTTTCAGTCGTGAATGGCTTGTTCTTCCCAGGGTACTGCATAGTGCCCAGAGCACAGACGGAAGATGGAACTTGGTCAGGATCTCATGAAATAGCTCCTTTCCAAGGTATAAGGGGAAAGTAATTGAAGACCTTATAAGTACAAAGTAATTTATTTCATTTTAGAAATTATGGGATTTTCACAGGGCTTCATGCTTCATTAGCTTTATATAAGCTGTGATCTAAGTAATTATTTTTTCTCTATTTTTCCTTGGGTTTTGGGGGAATTTTTTTTTGATTTTTTGTGTGGCTACAGATAGTTGTATGACATTGGCTTATTTTATTGGGTTTCATATCTAGAAATTCAACCTGAATTAGTGAGTTTAGATGAACATAGCTTTCAGTGCTCTTAATACACCTAACCGAATGTTAAGGTTTATTATATTGAGCATTTTCATATTTTTCAGACTTTACACTCTAGATGGAAAGCTTGTTCAGAGTGGGTCGGACTTGGAGAATGGACAAATTTATGTTGCAGTGGGAAGAGAAAAGTTTAAGAAGTTGCCATACGGTGACCTGCTGTTTAGCAAATCTACAGTGAGAAGACCACCGGGGTAAGTTCTAAAGGTCTGTGATATGCTTATCATGTGCTTGTTTGTGTCAATTTCTTTACAAAGCACCACCAGTAAAGTACAAAATCATTATTCCAAGAATGGTAGATGGTGGGTGGGTGGATGGATGGATGAATGGGGGCTTAGTAGGGATGCAAAATTTTATTGGCAACTTCTGAGAATTTTTGAAGTAACAAAAGCCAAAATGGATATTCAGAAGACCAATTTACCTCATAAACATTCTCAAAATTTTATTGGCAACTTCTGAGAATGTTTGAGATAACAAAAGCCAAAATGGAAATTCAGAAGACCAGTTTACCTCATAAACATTCCCTTGATCATGTATAACAAAATTAGTGTCAGAGAAAGTGTTATTTTGACTTGGCTTAATTTATTTTTTTTCCTGGGATACAAATGTGTACAGCTGAAATGAGATTAGGTGCGCATCTACTGCAGTTTAGATCTACTCTTGCTTAGTAATGTTTTGTGGAACATGTACTCCCTTAAGAATAATTTATGTTTGGGCCTAATTTTTGTGGGCTAGAACAGTCATATAATAGAGTGCTAAACTGGGTGTCTATAGGAGAAACTTGTTCTTTTTGTGTCTTTCAAAAACATGAAAATTGGGATCCATCCATTGAAATAAATGGAAAAAAATGGAAATTTGTCCCACAAATTGGTGTAGTTTAGAGAATTTGTCCAAATTTGACATATAAACTGGAGTGCAATTTATATTTCATTTATTTTAGTGAGCAACCGTAGACAATGTGAATAATTTGAAAGTATTTTGAGAAACACCATTTGCAACTAATGAACCTAATGATGGTACAAAGCTGATAAATTGTTATCAATTGATATAAACAGTTTTGTTGAAATTGCTGGAACTTTTCATTATAATAGTTGTAAGGAGCAGTCACATAATAATTCACTGAATACTGCTCTGCAAATTTTTGGTATATAAAGTACGCATTGTGGGGAACTTGTTTCAATAAGTTAATGATTATGCATTTAAATATAGTCTAGTAACCAGGAATGGGTGATTCTCAGGAAAAACATGCAATGCAAAAAAGCCATTAGCCCTGTTGCCATAGCCTTCTTGGTATTATCTGACTTGGTTATAGATACACAGTATCTCTGATAGTGATAGTGTACGCAGTTCTAAGGTGTGGCTTATTTCTGCAGTTCCAAAGCCTCTGTTCTACCTCCAATTGTGGGATCTCGAAAGTCCAAAGGCAGTGTAAGTATCAAGTTTCTAATTCAGCTGCATTCTGGCAGATGGAAAGTTCTTGTCCTTTGGGTTTTAATTAAATCTGAAGAGAAAAAAACCACAGCCACCTGGTGGTATGCTTATTAAAGCCTGATGAATCTGTAGCTATTTGCAGTGTCAATTAGACAAAAGAAATTGGAGAAAATATTATTGCAATAATGGCTGCTGTATTTTTTATAAAACCTTCCATAGCAAAGATCAACTGCTGCCTTGAGGTCTTTCCTCTAAACCTGGTAAGATATATTTGTGTATTTATTTATTCGAGTTATGCACCTAAAGGAAAAACATAGAATCTTTTAGAAAACATCTTGCAGAAAATGGTTTTTCTGCATACTGAGTCTGAATAAGGCCCTAAACCAGCTTCCAATCTGATATGTTTTGTCCTAGGTAACTGTTAAATGCAGAGCTTGATCCTCCACTGCTTTGATTCCTGTATAGCTATTTATATGTGTACAAAATGAGTCATAGAAACCTTAAAGCTGGAAAATACCTGCAAGATGATCAAGTCCCACCTTTGAATGACCACCACTACTTCAACTAAACCATAGCACTGGGAAAATACCTGCAAGATGATCAAGTCCAACCTTTGAATGACCACCACCACTTCAACTAAACCATAGCACTAAATGCCACATCTGGTCCTTTCTTGAAAACTTCTAGCGATGGTGACTCCACCACTTCCCTGGGCATCCTGGTCCAAAATTTAACCACCCTTTCGGTGCAGAAATTCTTCCTGATGCCCAGGTTAAATTTCCCCTGGCACAGCCTGAGGCCATCTTCTCTTCTCCTGTCCTCCCAGTTGCCTGTGAGGCTGATCCCCACCTTGCTCTGTCGATTTAAAACAGTGCCAAAACAGAATATGAGTATCTGTTTTCACTATTTCTATGCAATTGCAATTTACTGTACAAATATAAGACAGCAGGGAGTGATACTCACAGTCTGTCATTGTAATTGTGATAGTAGATCATGCCCATTCACTGTTTACGGAACTCAAAAAAATCCCTGGAGCCACTAGCAAAAATGAGCAATGAAATATATGTCTGTTCCATTCTGTTGAAATTCAGTAGAAGATAAAACCTCAGTAAAGAACATTCTTTCCAGTGGTGTTTGGTTTTAAAATGTGAGCTTTGTTTTGTAAAAATAACTCATCAGCAGTTCTAATTTCTTGTGTCTTCTACTATTGCTTAACAACAGGTATAGAAAATGATTTCTTATTCACTTGTATTGCATTGGGATTGACACTTGATAACAAATGTCAAAACTTAAAGAAGCAGGCACATGTACTACTGCTCCTAAATATCTAATACAACATTTGAACTGGTGTAAATCATTCAAGTGTTTCCTTCAATTTGCTATCTACACTTTTTTACTATTATTGCTTGGGAGTAGCAGTCTCTAGTTTGAATTAGAAGGGATTGCAATGCCCTCATTTCTCTTTATAGAGAAAGTTTTGATGGTATTGGTAGACAAATGGTAGATTAGATGGTAAAAGTGAGATGGTATTAAAGCATTTTTAACAGAACTGATTTCTACTGATTATATGAAAACTAGAAGAATGATGTAAAAATGTAGTATTGTATGCAGAATTTTTTAAGAGATGTGAGATTTTTGTCAGGAGTTATTTTTCTGAAAGATTTGAATTCTATATACTATTATGTCTTAACTTTAGCAGTGAGGTGAAAAAATTGTTCGTGATCACTGCAAAATGAAAGGCCTTTATGGTGCGCAGTTTCTAAAATGGCATGAATTGCTCATGCAGCTACAGTAAGTGAAACAGTGAATTAGAGTATATTCATCTTTTGTGATTCAGCTAAGTCTATGATAAGGTGAACTGTTCCAGATAGATATCGATAAGGTTTTCTGCCCAATCTGCTTGAGTGTTTTGTTGTTATATGGAGAACTGGATTACAAAGAGACTACTGAGAGGCAATGATGGGATGTTCAGTTGGTAAAGTTTTACACAGCCTAGAATGATACAACAGCACCCTAAAGGGCTGCTATATGCAGTTCATTTTTTTTTAATGTTGATTGTGAACAGATTTAGACTGATGAAATATGTGCATAAATAATAAAATCTCTGGCTAGTACACCCAGGATCATACATACATCAAAACTGTAAAAATAAGGACCAGGTTTCTAGTTCTGTTTCTAGATACACCACAGAGCAAGCAGGGGAACTGACTGATGTCCATGAATGTGATTCAGAGGTGGTGTGTTGATGTCTACTTGACAGTCAGTGTTACTGCCTCATGAAGACTGTCATTCTCTTCCAGCTTCTCTTGACACTCATTTACACAGGCAATGAATTATTAACAAGTTATATATGTTACATCTTGTGACTTTTCACATATATATGGATGTGGTGTAGCTGTATATAATATGCATGCATGTATAGATTCATCTAGCCATTTTTTTCATCAAATGAAACAGTATTTTCTTATACTAAACATGTTACTTTCTCCTGGGAGTTGTTGAGAAGTATTTCATCAGTCAAATCATACACTAAATTGAGATTAGTTACACTTTTCTGGATAATTTAAGATATCACTTAACCATACTGATTGTAAGTTAATATGCTTCTTTAGCAGCTGACACCAGTCCTTAGTATTAAAAGGCTGAAATAATACTGAAATCAAAAAAATAAACTTTGTCATTTGAGTCAGTGATAATTAGATACACTTCCTTTCAGGGAAATGATCGGCAATCCAAATCTACCACTGGATCCAGTGAGCAGGCAGAAAATAGTTCCTCACCTCAGCTTCCCAAAGGGAAAGATAAAAAAAGCCAGAATCCAGAGAATTCGATGTCCAGACGACGCTTTTCTAACAGCTCTACAAAAGTAAAAGCGACAGCTTCCACAGGAGTCCTTCAAGATAATGGTCAGTACCGAGATAAACATTGTCGCAGCATAGTGGCTTTCAATCCTCAGTTAAAACAATGAAATAATGCAATGATAAGCTTGTACAGTTCTTGAATTGTCTGTTTAATCTCCCTGACAGAAATTGCAGAAGTTCTTTCTGCATAGGAAATGTACCCGTGCCTATCCGCTACATTCCTAGTTTCCTTCACGTACCACAGGAGGCTGTGTATGATTTTTAGTATACCTTGGAAGTCAAGCTAATATGGTCCTATCTTTATGCTTTTGACAAAAGCATAATGGAAAACATATTTTGGACCATTTTTCTGCTGTTTTGCTCTGAAAAAAGGTGAAGAAAAGAAGCTGCTCTCAAAGGATACCTCCGGGTCCCTGTGGATCCCTGGTTAGCTGCCTGGTACTGTGTGACAAAATGACTGGACCCTGAGGGAGTAACACAAACACTAACTCCAGTTAGCCGATAGCTGCTGAGACAAATCATAGAGCAGAGCTGCTGGAGGTCCTTTCAGAATTTGTTCCCCACTGTGCTGTGACAGCAGTGACAGTAATTTACAAATGTAGTTGTAAACATCCTCTTTGAGAAACTGTTTTTCTTACCTTATGATATAATGTCCCTCTTCCCCCCTCCCCCCCATTTTTTTGTGATGGCTAGAAAACTGGCCCATCACCACAGATACTGCTACCATGCTGGAATGGCTGTTCTTGCTCATTAGTAATAATTCCAGAAGTATTTAATACAGGCCAGTTAGTATCTGTCAGGAGAAAGAAATTGTTCTTTTCATCGCATTTGAAATTTCTTCTCACTGCTTTTTAAGCATTAATAATCAAGTGTACCATAACAATCTGTGATCTAACACTTCAGTGTGTATCATCCAACAGCAAGTTTTGTACCATTTTCTTGAAACATGAGTTATAAATTTATGTTGAGTCAGGAGCAGGTTTGTAAAACAGAGTTCTGAAAGATTAGTGAACTATAGTCTTTTGCAATATAATTGTTTTTTCAAGAGTTAGCTTGTTGAATTTCAGGATTATTTTAATCTCGATTCAAATGCCTTTCTATCCTTTAGTTGGTAAGTGGACATAATTTTAGCCAGCTCTTTTTCAGTCCAGTTTTTTCTTTCCAAAGAACAATGATGTAATGTATATGTATCCTACAGTTGTTCATAGGCTGCTTGGATTTAACCTACCTACTCATCTCTTGTTCCTGTCTAAGTGTACCTACCACCTACTTGAATTAAGAACAGAAAGAGTGAAGATCATAATTTGCAGTGTTCTTTGGAAAATGTGTTCTGGTACATCATCTAAGGCACCAGATTCACCAGGAGGCCCATCTGGTGCTATTTCCAACAATCCACACACACTGCTAGAAGGGGTATGTCAGAAGATCCTGCCTTTAAAAAGTGGGACTGGGATTTTATAGTATAAACTGATTGGCTGTTGTTCCAATGTTTCTAGGCCAGCTGTGTCAGCTCAACAGCCTTTATCTCAGCAGCTTTACATATGTTATCAGTACTATCACTTGTTGTTTCCTTTATCAGGAACTTTGCCACATCCTCACTGGTGCCAGTTTCTGTCAGGAAATTTTGTTCTTCACATCCTCAGGATGTTTAACTTTGGGATTTGAGACCAGACAGGCTTGTCTCAGCATTCTTTAATACCAAAAGCAGCATGAACCCCCTTCTCCATCTACTACTGGTAACTTTTGAAAATAGTGTAATTTTGAGCTGGTTTACCTTCATTTTGGCAGAGCATTCTGCTATGCTTCACCCTGTGACTGCAGTCAGTCATCTTTACCTCATGAAGAAGTAACAAAGGTACCTTGCCTCCATGATATAGAAGCATCCACTGCATATGTGTACATTATTGTCAGTTAAGTTGAGAAACATCAATCTCTTAAGTTTTATCATTTTGTTTTAACTCGTGCTTTGAAGAGTGTTAGTTATATTATAATCATATATTATACTTTAACACAGAAAAATATTATCAAAACCAGTCAAAATTTAATTAGCAATATCAAACGGAACACAATAGTCAGCTCTGGATTCTGGCAAGAAACACTGTTATTATTTCAAATTACATACTTCTGGAGTAGTTAGTTTCCTCATTTGTTGGATTAGGCATCACACTTACATATACAATGATTATTATTAAAAAGCACATTCTGATTAGTAGCAATATTATAACAAGGTGTAACATTAAATTCAAAATGCTTGTTGTGGTTGGGGGTCATCCAAACAAGTTGTCCTACCAGTGATATTTTCCATCCCTTTTCACTTGTTCAAGAAGAAGATAAATTTTTTCCACATCATGATGGACAGGACTTTTCTGCTTCAGCTGTTGTACCAGTTTATGTAGTTCAGGATGTTCCAAAAGTTTTTTGACCAGGATAATGTCCATTCCAATACGCATTGGAGACAAAGTGTCACATAACATGATGCTGCCATGTATGTTCTAGTACACAGTTTTTGGTAGGGAATAGTTGAAGGCACATCCTACTATATTGCTAAAGTTACAAATGCATAAATGTGAGTGTCTGTTCTAATTTCATCTCACCATCCCACTAAATACGTTTTTAACATTGTCAGGGCTGCTTTCAATAGAGGTCTTAACATACTAGGCTTGACTTCTGTGGAGATTGGGCTATCTCACTTTAAGTGTCCGTGCATTGCCTGTAGGCAACTGCCTTTGTAACAGTAGTAGATATTTCATTAGATGACCACATGGGTATGGACGTGGTTCTTCTCTTTCCATAACCTCTATTCCTCTGGCCCAGTAAGCAATCCTGGTGGTTATGGAATGGAGTTGATTGGTAGGCAATGATATTAAAGCTAACAAAACAATTATTAAGTAGAAATTGATGTTACTCACCCATACCAACAACCATGGGCAGATCTCTTTCACTCAGCTTTGCGGAGTAACTTCACAGGTTGTTCCCACTCTAGGAATGAATCTCCACACACACTTCTAGAAGGGGTATGTCAGAAAGTCCTGCCTTTAAAATGTGTGACTGCACTTTTCTAGTATAAACTAATTGGCTGTTGTTCCTATGTTTCTAGGCCAGCTGTGTCAGCTTGGCAGCCTTTAGCTCAGCAGCTTTACCTGTGTTATCAGTACTATCACTTGTTGTTTCCCTTGTCTAGAACTTTGTCTGCCACATCCTCACTGGTGCCAGTTCCTGTCAGGAAACTTTGTTCTTCACATCCTCAGGATGTTTAACTTTGGTATTTGAGACCAGTCAGGCTTGTCTCAGCAATCTTCAACACCAAAAGCAGTGTGACGCCCCTTCTAAAGTTGAAGCTGTTTTACCCCCACTTTAGCAGAGCATCCTGCTGCATCTTGTACACTGCTTTCTTTTCCACTTATTCAGTGATGATTTTCCTTGAGTCTGTGTGGCCCTTCATTAATTTTATCTGACTTCATCAGTTTGTTTTCTGTGCCATTTGGTCTTTCCTCAAGTAATCTCTTCTGTCTGTCAGTGGTTCACCAGGTTCTGGAGGTTGGGTTCTGTTTCTTTCTTAGTCTTCCTGTTCAACTTTGGGCAATTGTGTGGGCCTCGATACATTCTTAAGACAGTGAAACATGTACATGAAGAGAAATATGTGTAACAGGAGGCACTTCAACCATCCTAAGCTGTTCCCACCTCTCTGAAACTTCCTCCATACAGCTAAAGGGTATGTCAGAGCAGCTGTGGAAATACTTGGTTTGCCAAGGCTCTTGTGGAGTTGCTGTATAGGGTCAGAGGTGGTGACAACCATCCCGTTGGTGGGGGAGTGAGTGGGAGGCTGTGTGGTTCTTGGCTGCTGGCTGGGGTTAAACCACGTCAGAAGACAAAAGCTCTCCTAGCTTCCTTCTCCACATGGATATTACAAGTCTTTTCCTTTAATCAGCTTGGGAGCAGAGTGGATGTAGCATTTTGGTTTGTCTGTTTTTCTCTTCCTTTTGTACTCAGCAAGATGTAGCTTTGCAACAGTTGTTAACACATGTTGTGGTTTTGAAGAGCAAACTTGTCAAGAGACTGTATCAGCTATATAACAGGCATCTCTATAAAGTAAATTCATAGGTTGAAAAGTTTTCTTTAGACTTTATTTGAGTCATCATTCTTTGCTTTGTCGCTTTATTTTGAAGTGCTTATAGCTCCAAGTCATTATATGAACTTTTTTTCTGACTAATACAAAGTTGTTCTTTTGAACATATCCATTAAATATATGTCTTGATGATCTTAAGAAAGTTCATGGTGTACTTTCGATGGTTGATTTGTGGGCTATGACTTTTTAAAACAAAAGTAGTTTTCTGCACAATTGCAATGTGCTTTCTATTAAAATAATGGAGGTGTGCTGAGAACTCAACAGAGCAAAAAATATTGGGTTTTTACATTTTAAGCATTTTAAATATTCATTACAAGTTAATGTGAATACTGTGCTACAACTGTGGAACAAGAATCTTTAATTCATCTAAAAGCAAAGAAAGCCAACAGGCAAACTCTGGACAAATCTTGTTAAAAACTAAATAATTGTTTAATTTTTAACAATAAAAAAAGCTTCATTGAAGTTAATGTTTAAAGACACTGAGCCTCTGGGTTTCAGAATACAGATAAGTGGCCATGGCTTACACTGGCAGCCAGACCTGCTGTATGCATACTTGTACTTATGTTGTGCTTATATTTGTTATTTACATGTATGCTGAGGACCTATCATGTTCCCCTTTGGGTGTGGAAGGAGCTTGTACTGCTGGGACAATATGTTAGGATCCAAAGGGCAGATGAAGGGTACATGCTCCCTTCTAAGGGTACTGCTTCACCTGTTGTTTCCAGTACTGCTTCATATACTGATGAAGGGTGTTAACATCCAGTTCAGCTTGAAAGGGCTGTATATTAGTGAAAGCTCTTCCCCTTCTCCTGTTGTGTATGTTTTAAGTGCTCTAAAATGTCTCCCTGTCAACAGGGTATCTCCCTGACTTTGTCCTGGTTTGTTGCCTTGTCTCTGGGTGAGATGGACTCCTGCAGTG